CCATCCATCCATCCATCCATCCATTCACCCACCCACCCATCCCCTCACTTAATTACTCCTTCACCCACTCAAACACCCATTCACCCACCCATTAAACCATCCATTTAACGGTTGCGCGCGAGGACCCACACGAACACCAGTATGGAAAGAAATACCAAAATTTCTGATTAAAACTAACACATGGTCTGAAATTGGGAAAACACTACACCAAGGTACTGAAAGAGGTCTGCTGAAGAGTGGACATTGAATTTGATCGATCATGATCTCTATATTTTAATGATTTTCAGGTAACGTTCGCCTGGCTGGTAGCCGACATTCTAATCAGGGTCGTGTTGTAGTTAACTTGAATGGTCGTTGGGGAACAGTATGTAGTTCCTACTGGACAATAACCGAAGCTAAAGTTGTTTGCCGAGAGCTAGGCCTACCGGAAGCGACGGTTGTCCTGCATGAAGCTGTTTTTTTCCCTACAGGCAATGCTTTCATTTCGATGATCTTAGATTATTGTGTTGGTACCGAGCCCTCTCTTGTTAATTGTAGCCACACTATTGCAATCAACCCCAGCTTTTGTAGTGAAAGGTATAAAGAAGTAGGCGTGGTGTGTGGAAAAGCCAGAGGTAAGAGATCCTGACAAAATTCGAAGGATGCCAAAATTGCCATCCCGTTGAAATATTCAAATATTCGATTACATATTTAACTCCATTCATTTCTTGTGTGTGTCACACGCATATTACAAGCTCAAGCCTCGCCTTATTAGTAATATCAAAGTATCATCTAATTTACTAGGGGTTTATTTTGACAGAAATGTTTCATTCGTTTAAGAAAATTTTGGTTTTGTGGATTGTTGGCCTGTTAATGCGTAAGGTTTTTTGCAGCTACGGAAATGGTGAGCGTCTCCTACTAAAGCGAAACCGTATGTGAACATTTCTTTAAACTTTCACTCTATTTGTGAGTCTAAAAAATTCTCTTATTTTAAGGTATGAGTTAAGAAATGCAAATGAAGATCTTCCTATGGACTCTGATTGGCTATCTTCCGTGTCTTGATCAGTGTCTTGATCAGTGTCTTGATCAGTGTCTTGATCAGTGTCTTGATCAGTGTCTTGATCAGTGTCTTGATCAGTGTCTTGATC